TATATTTGAATTTTTTTTTTGGTAAATCATAATTTTATAAAGAATGAAAGGAATACACTTAAAAGGGGAAACCTCCATAGCACCCAACCATTGAGGCTTGAGACACAACCAAAGATTGAGGGAAAGCGAGATGGCCTGACCATCCTGTCACCAAAAAAAAAAAAACCAAGAATGTTCAATCCTTTACAAATCAACCTAAACTAGGAGCAACAATGCCCATCAAAAGGAACCCAAAAGCCTAAACCCAAAATTCACCAAGAATCCACTAAGTGATGTTCTTTCTTCTGAAGTGGTTGATAGAAACCGACATAGCGGTGCTGAAGTAATTCAATAGATACCGAAAATGAGTGTCGAGGTAGTGGAGCTCGAGGACATGGAGCCTATCTCCAGATTTAAAGCTAAGAAAAACCCTATTTTAGCGATCTCTTAGGAGGATCTAGATCGCATTAGGGATGAACAAGAAATCATTTGCCCCCTTTGTCTTGCAGAGGATCATTCGTCGAAGATCCCACCCCCTGGCTAGGTAGACCTATGTGGTGCTTCTCAAATGTGGAGCATTAGTGCCACCCCATCACTTCATTGCTAAAGTTTTGGAACGCTTCAATATCACTCCACTTCAGCTTATGGCGTACTCATACTTGTACATGGTCGACATGTATATTGCTTACATGAAGGTTAGCTTGGGTGAGCTATCATACAATGAGATTGTTCATATATATAGCCTAAAAACAAGCCAATGAGACGCCTACTGCCTCTCCAAGGCAAAGAGGGGTGACATCAAAGGCCTGGAGGGAATCCCGAACAAAGCTAGGGGTTAGGATTCCAACTTCTTTTTCTATGAGAGCAAGGAAAACGACTCCTATAGGAATTTCAATAGATGTTTATTTGACTTCCTTTAGGTCGTTTTATTTGATTTCTTTTTTAACTACCTAATTTCCTTTGGTCGCAGATAACCGTACCCAAACTGATCTCACTGTTGAACTGCAGCAACGACTTCAGAAATTTAGCTAGCTTTTTTACGATCAACGCGACTTGAGTAAGCTCATTACTCTTGAGAATTTGAAGGAATTCGAGTTTGCCCTGCTACTGCAAACTTTAAAACACTCTTTGCTAAGAAAAAGAAAAGTAAAGTATATTTTATATTGCCTTTCAATTGTGTATCTTTCCAAAGGTTAGTTTGCGGTCTGATCCCAGCAATTATAAGTGTCCAGATTGACTCTTGGAGCATCCATGACCTTTGCCTGCTCATTCTTAAACCTTATTAAATATGAAGTCAATATTTCGCCTTTTTCCTGCCTGTTGTTACTTAAATAACTCAAGGGCATGGCAAACTACTTTCTTGCCTTGAACTGCTGGAGATATAGCAAAGTGAACTGTTGCCAAGAGTGGATGAAGCTCGTTGCAAGCCTCTTATATCCATCTCTTTGCATCTCCTACCAGGGTAACTGTGAAGCAGCAACACTTTGCATGATCAGAGACCTGATGCAACTCCGACAAGTCATTAAAAGCATCAAGGTGATCCTTGGGGTCACCTCTTCCTTTGAACTTGATGTTCGGTGCTTTGCGTCCTTGAGGTAAGGATGTCTGGTGCACTTCCTCTGAGAAGGGGGAGTTAACTACTCTCGTGGGTTGGTTTTCCTGACGAGTCCTCAGGTCATCAAGCATTCTTTGTACCTGATCCAACTTTGCATTCACCGATGCATTTTGTTCCCAGGCTCTATTGGCTTGCTACTTAATATGGTGGTGTCAAAGATTAGTGCTCTACGTGCCAAGTCTGTTGTGCACACTAGTGCGTGATGCCGAGCTGTAGTTGCTTGAACGATAGGTGCTATTATAATCTAGATTATTTCTTCCTCGATGTGGGTACGAACCGGCAAATTGATTCTAGGTGTCTGATTGACGCACATTTTAACCTCCGTGAGCCTACGAAGATTGAGCTTGACTTAGGCTTAGGTCCAAACTGGAATGACAAGTTTGAATATTATGTTGCTCAGTGTGAGCAGTGTCCTGGCGACCTACATTTTCTTCTGCAAGCTCTTTTCCAGGTCCCCTGCCCAAATCATTCTAATTTTGACCTCTAGGTAGGTGCACAATTTCTATCCTACGTTGCCTGTGATGGTGCTCACTAGGCGACCTGGAACTATCATTCGCAATTTCATTCTCCCAGTCTGGGGTTGGCTCAATGATGTTTCGATGGCTTAAGGGTGGACTTTCCTACTGTGCATTCTTCATCACAGTCACATCTTGTTGAAGGGCCTCACTATATTGTTGAGTAATCTCAACATGTCCAACACCACATTATCCGGGTTAGATGTGCCAGCCCTTGTGGGTTCACTGGCTGAATCACAATTGGGATCAATGGTGGGTGATTTGTTGGGGCCACCTGGTTGACCTCGTGGTGGCCTACCCCAACATTCTCATTGAGGTTGTTGCCAGTATTGGTTGTGAAGTTTCTGGTACGCACCATGGTTGTGGAAAGGTGGCTGCGGCTAAAGAATAAATTGTTGGATTAATTAGAAATAATTTCATTCCTCGCTGGATGTGCACATGATTAATTAAAATCAGCAAAGAAGAACAAGAATGAGGCATAGAACAATTTTCAAAGTGGTTCGGCGATCTAAATCTGATCAAGCCTACATCCACTATTATCTTATAATGCTACGAGTACAAAAATAAGTATAATCTCACTAGAATTGCTAACTTCTTACAATGCGTTTTCTAGGGTTATTTATACAAGAATTGGATAACGATTCCATGACGAATTCTCAGGATTGTGGCTTAAACATAGGAAGTTAATCTCATCATTAGCTCAATTGCATTAAATTCAAGATTACGTGATCTGGTACCGAATTTGTCTCCTTGATTCTAGGGGATAAGGCTTATCTGTGACTTGTGACACAATTGTCCATTTAGCTCGCTCCTATGAGCTTAGCTTGCCGTACCAAGATTCATTTTCTCTGAGCTATCACTGATTCTGAGCTTGTCAAAATGCTCGCACAACAATTATCGATTAGTTTAAGTTCAAATTTCTAATCCGTCATGATCTGATATAGACACAACTTATTCTCTTATGTTTTCAGCAATTACTTAATGCTAGAAAAAATAGTTGATCCTCTATATGTTATTAGAAATTATAAAGAAGTGGGCTTTTAAACAAGTTTCTCTCTGTTAGGGGATACCAGTTATTGATATGCAATTGAAATAAACTGTGTTTTCAGTAATCTTGTTTTTGCTAATTTACCCACTAAGTCATTAAGCTATCAACTGCTGAACTGCAGGGGTTTTTGTACATGAAGAATTTTTTGTGATATTGAGACTCGAATTTCAGTATTGATGTTGTATTGCTTTGCATTCAACATGTCAAGTCTCAATTAAAAATTCCGGTAACTTTGTTGCTACCTGTGTGTATTGTAAACTAGTGGAAAGAAAATTGACTCTTTGTTAGACGAGAATGGCAGAGATTTTAAGTGACACAGCTTGCAGACAGTTATCTCAGATGTTCTTGGCAGTTTTGTTCTTTCATAGTTCTGAATATGTTTTAGCAATTGCCTTTCATGGTAGTTCAAATGTTACTCTTAAATCACTTTTGATTAGCAAATACTATCTTTTGGCAATGGCATTCTCAGTGGTAAAGTACTTAGTGGAAATTTTTTTCTTCCCTGGCTTGAAGGAATAGCGGTGGATAAGCAATGTAGGTCTTGCGATGGTTATAATTGGTAATTGGGGAAATCGTTAGGAAAATTGCTATTATAACAGCCGGGCGAGCCTTCACACATTTAGTTATGATCTACCATGGGGAACACCACCAACTGGTTACTCATGGAATCTATAGCTTTGTCCGCCATCCTGGATACTGCGGTTTCCTCATCTGGTCTGTTGGCACCCAGAAAATGCTCTGTAACCCCATCTCCACAATTGGATTTGCAATTATTGTGTGTAAATTTTTCCACTAGCGGATACCATATGAAGAATATTTCATGAGACAGTTTTTTGGGCCAAACTATGATGAATATGCGCGGCGAGTTCCTTCTGGGGTGCCATTTTTAAAGTAGTAATATATGATCATGTTGGTAGGGTAGCAATTGTCTTGCATAGACACCTTGCTTCATCAAACCTTTGATGCTAACAGACTGACGGTGGTGAGAGAGACCATTTTATTTATCCCCCCTGGCTTTATGCTCGGCTGAGAATGTACTATTGACATAGGTAGTGTTTATGAAGATTTTTGTTACCGTAAGGTGCAGTGTTAAGTTTTATTATTATTCTTTCATCAGGAAGTTATCAGACAGCTTACAGTTGTCAATCCATTACAAGTTTCTAGACTTCGGATTTGTCATCTTTAGTGCTCGGTTTGGTTATACCTTGTAAACTTGCTATGGATTGTGAAAGAGCATTTTGTTATAATTTTTGTCAAAATGCAATACAGAGATTACTTCCCATCTATCAGATTGATGTTACAGAAGTTTCATCTTAAGATTGGGTTGAATCTTTCATTAAAGTTGTTCACCAGTCCCTTTGATAAAATTTTTAATGAACTGTACTTAACCGTTAAATTAATCAGCTTCTTGAACTCACTTAACACACAACAATATTGACAATCATGATAAGAGAAGCTATTTTGCACCAAGAATTACCACAATGCTCATATATAAGTGTTTGATTCTACAATGACAAACGATTTCTTTCTGTTCTTTATCTCTAAAATAACATGTAAAAGGCTAAAAACTTTTTACAGAAACGGTGTTATTGTGCATCTAAAACAAATAAAAAGGTGTCTTCAATAATTAATTAATTAAACAAAACTTCCAAGTTCTGTGAGATTAAGAGAGATTATTGTAGCCTCTGCAGCACGAATTTACTAGGATTTTAGTAAGTTATACACTCATTTCTCAGCATGTGAAGTTCCAATGCATAAAATATACTCTTTTACAATCCATAACAAGATTAATAGGTATAGCAAGTACAATATTAAACCTCAATTACTCATTTAAACAACAAATACAATATTACAAGTACAGAGCTTAATCTCGCGAAAGCAGCAATATTGAAGAGCTGGATGCATATTGAATGGAATTGGAAAAGGGCAAAAGAAAAAAAAAAATCTGAAAATCAATCAAACTGAGAACATATTTTTTTATACACTATAACCCCTTCACTACAAAACTGATGTTAATTCTATCATCAAATTCTTATAAAGCTCAATTGGGTTTAGTTAAACTGGGTTAATTACTAAACATTACGACCCAAGGTCCTCTGCTTTGTTGCATGCTGCACTACTTTTTCTTCCACAGGGAGGCCCTTCCGTCGCCTCACAGCATCAATGAGTTATCTTGCTGTATTGGGCAGCACACTAGAACCATCTCCAAACTCTTCAATTTCCTCTTCTGTTTTGGACACAAAGAAAGGATCCTCTGGAAGTGCTTCCCAATGACTAAGGACAAGAAGGGCACTTGCAGCTCCTGAAGTCCATCTCCTAAGCTCATCAGGGAAACCAAAACTTTCAGAGACGGCAAATAAGCATGAACAGTGAAAAGCGGAGACCCTTTCTGCATTTCCTCCTTCAAGACTCTGGCTCGCCTTCGAGCAAGCACAGCATACATAGGACCCAAATATTCAGTTGGGGTGTTCAACTCACAAAAATACATGGCCTTAACAAGCCGGGTTTCTTCTGCAACATAGCTGCTCTACAGGCATCTTTAACAGCTGTCATAACCTGCCCAGAGAAGATGCCATACTGCTCAGATTGTTGTAAAGATTCAGGCTCATCAGCTTGCCCTGCCAAGGGAGAGATGTAAGCCTCAACAACAAATGCCAATCCCCACATTGGTTCATCACATAAGGGGCCAGCTGCAGTAGCCAGCTGAAATCCAGAAACTATGCTGCTCTGAAGACTCTGTGCTTCTTGGCACAATGATGAAGCTTGAGTAACTTCCAACAATGTCCCAGCAGCTGAATCAGCATCATTATTGATATCATTAGCATTATCCACAAAGCCTAATCTCTCAGACACATGAGCAGAACCTCTTATAAGAACAGAGCAATCAGTATTCTTTCTTTTATAATCTGGTGTGAAGAGGATGTTAGGACCAACATGCCTTGGACCAATTGCCCAAATCCTTGTAAGAAACTTTTGTCACTTTGCTTTATATTTCTCCACTCGCTCCTTGTCAATCTCATTCCCAGAGGAAATATGATTCTCCAATGCATCCATTATGTGCTGTTTGAAAGCTTCAATTGGATTATCTTCCTCATCAATGCTTGATCTCTGGGTTTCCAAGCATTTGATGCTTTGCCTTCCAATAATACCACCAAGCAAATCAGCACACTCATCAAGCACCTTAGTCACATTAAGAGGAAGTTTGTTGACTTGCACTCTAACAACACATCTGCCATTTGGAGTCATCTTCTCAACATAATCAGAGCTCCCACTTAATAATTTCAGATTCTCTAATGGATTACATGATTCACCCTCACCCTCACCCTCAATGGTCTCTTTATAGGACACAAGAGGTGGAGAGACTTCCAAGCTTACCTTAGCAAACCTCTCCTTCAAATCCTTTATGCATCTTTCTAGATGAACCTCTCCTGCAACAGCAAGCACATTTTCCCCTCTAGATGAAACAGTAACCTCTACAAATGGATCTGCACGATTCAAAAGCCACAATCCTCTCATTAAAGCACCCATATCTGCTGGATCAGTTGGCTCAATTGCAACTTTTAAAGTTGGTGAGACCTGATATACCATACTTGAGAAAGGCCAACAGTTTCTTGCAGACGAAAGAGTTGCGCTCTTCAATATATGCTGACCAAGGCCTCGGATAGCCACAACATTCCCTGCCTTGGCAGAAGCCACTAGTTTCAAGCCTTGACCCATCATTAGATATAAGGACTGCAACTCCGCTTCTTGTATATGCTTCTGCACTGATTCCCCCTTTAATGGATCATATAAAGCTGAAAGCACAAAAACCCTTTGCCCTGAATAAAGAACTCCACTAAAGATCCTAGCAAATGCAAGGAAGCACTCATCTGATTCACCATTTCAGCCTTTCTCAGAATAATTATCCAAAATCTTCGCATTTGAACCTCGTTGAGGCAGCATTTTTATTGGGACAGCAAACATCTTGGAAACAAAAGCAACACATGGCGCTTCAGGGCTTGAATCACAGGCCTAAACTGACTTCCTCACAAGATCTGCCTCCGTAAGTACATTTTTATCAACATCATAATCTAAAATCTCTCTATTTGGAAGCAAACGTGAAATACGAAAAGATTGAGCAGAAACTGGATCTGGCACACACTTCACTACCATTGACAAGACTGCATCTGACAATGGAAGCCAATGGCTCATAACTGATTGAAGCACAGTTTTTGGATCCTTGCTCTGAAGCTCACGAGGTGGTATAGACAAATTAAACGATTTAATCACTTTCTCAAGTACTGCTTTATCCCCATCTGGCTCTAAAGCAGCCTGGTAAACTTGCCACAATGGCTCAAGCACAAACTGTGCAAACATAGGCCGCACTTTACTCCCTGTACCTATCCCCTTCTTCTCCACAATCATCTTCGTCTTTGGATTGAAATACCAAGGACCCCACAAAGCCTTCTGCAATGCAGCGGTACTAGCTCCAAGCTTTGTAGCATAAAATTCAGCAAACTCACTAATTGTAAAACCTCATCCATCCAATGCATAAACAAATGCTACATTCCCCTTCTGGGGTTGAAATGTATCTTCCTCATCATCCTCTATAAACTCAAGATTCTCATCACACAGCTTCTCGGAAGGCCCCGCGAGTATAGAATCCACTTTGTCACTCATAATCCCATTAACCTCATGAACAATTCTCAACAGCCTATTATAAGCTTCCATTGGACTCAACCTCAACTCACAAATCAACCTATCAATCTTATTAAGCACTAAACATGGCATCAACTTCTCAATCCAAGACTGACGCAAGACAGCGTGAGTCTGAATGTGAAAACCCTCAACAGCATCAACCAAAACCAAGGCACCATCACTCAAACGGGCAGCGGTCGAGACTTCACTACAGAAGTCCATATGACCAGGGGAGTCAATCAAGTTAATTGAATAGTGTTTATAATGAAGAGCAATGGAAGAGCTCTTCATTGTAATGGCACGCCTTTGTTCCTCATCAAGATAATCCATAAACCTAAGTTTACCCGCTAGTTTTGGGTGGAGAAAACCACCACCAGTGGCGGCAATTAGATGGTCAGCAAGTGTTGTTTTACCATGGTCTACATGTGCTAATATGCATATGTTTCGGAGGTTTCGGGTATCAGACTCACCCATTTTAGCACAAAAAGAAAAAATCTAACCGCCCCCTTTCACTGGCACGCCTTTCACAACCAGTCACCGGCTAACCGCCCCCGCCGAACGGTCGGCCGCAATCCGCGGCACTCTCGGGTCTCGGCTGTTCCCTTCTTCAGTTCAGTGCTCAGCTTCTTCACCTAGTACGCCGTCGCCGTCCGCCTCCGCCGATTGGGCAATGTAAGTTGCAACAGCAATCTCTCTTTTGTACAATCAATATGTATTTTCAAAGGGAAAAATTAGAATTAGAAATTTATGATTGTACCATCAATATGTAACCTCTGATTATTTTTAAACCTTTAGGAATGAACACTGTTATTATGTTCACCCCATAATAGAAATTTCAACTACGTCGATAACACCACCAATCCACCATTGTGAATGACTTGACCTCAGCCCAGGGAATACTCGGAATTTTGTACAGGGAATACTCGGGCCGTGCAAGTATATAATATGAAATTGCATATCCTCCAAGAAAACTACATGCAACCATCTTTTATGACGTACAATTAAGAAAGCTGTCGGAAAACTTCTCAAATCTTAAACCACCTATCGCTCTCTATAAACTTAGTCCGCCCACTGTATATCAAGTAAAACCCCGTTCTTATTTCAACCAAACCCGTGCTTGGCTTCAGTATTACGAAATTCGGGCTTTCTCCCGGGCCTAGATATGGGCTTACAAATGTTGAAATTTAACCGAAATTCATGTTCCTTATATATATATATATATATATATATATATGCACAACAAAGAGATTCTTACAAGTTTGTTAATTTCAATCTTTAAACAACTTCATTTTTAAGTATAGAAAGTCGGGGCAAAAGTGTTATTTTATATAAATCTGTTGGGAAAAATCAAAAGGCATTTGCTTTAGAGATAATACTATACTTACAACTCAATCTTACAAACTTTCTCTTACAACCTCAATGTGGTAACTTGCGTTGTTAATTTTTAAAAACCTAAAGGGTGATTTCAAAAAAAAAAAAAAAAAAAGGCCTTGAATTGAGCATCCATCCAACAATTTGAAAAAACCAGATGATACTTTTTGAAAGGGATATTGGATATTATCAATTAGGGTATAAACTTTCCAGACTACCAATAGGAGGGTAAAAGTTATAAATTGTTCAGGACAATAAACAGTTACTTAGGGTAAGGATTTGATTTTATATAAAGGTGAAGATGTAATTGAAAAAAAATGAAATTATTCTTTTTACAAAATAAATAAGAAAAATTATAAATGATCAAATTAAAAATAGAAATTAAACAACTAGATAAAATATTTAAGGGTGCGTTTGTTTTAGTATTTTAGATATGATTTTTGATATTTTTAGAGTTAGGTGCGAATAACGAGGAAAGATTTAAAATTTAACAAAATCACCCCTCTAAGTTTGCTAATTTATGAAACACCCCAACATATAAAAAATTTGCAAAATGACAAAACACCCCCACCCACAATTGCCAGATTTCGGCCACCACCGCTAGAATCTGGCATTACGGCGTACGACCGGTCGGATCTGGCCGTTCATGTGCTGATATGTCATTTTTTGACCAAATCCACCACGAATCTGACCAAAAAATGACAGATCTATGGTCATTTCTGGCCGTCAGCGACAACCAAAGATATGGCCGTTGTTGACGACCAGCTACAGCCAAAGATCTGGCCATTCTTTGGTCGTAGATTTGGCCGAAAAATGATAGATCAGCACACTACCGGCTAGATCCAGGCTGTAGTATGCTATTATACCAGATTCCGACCACCTTTCGACGGTGGTGGCCATAATCTAACAAATGTGGGTTGGGTGGGGGTGTTTTTGTTAATTTTTAAATTTTTTTCTAAGGGTGTGTAGTTAAATTAACAAACTTAAGGGATTTAAAATATAGTTGAAGAAAATATAATAGTATTTTGAGGATAACTTCTAAAATAAGATCTAGAATAACAAAACAAACGCATCCTAATTTATCCCTTTTTACAAAATAAATAATAAATTGTTTTTGTTTTTATTTTATCTTGTAAAATTTTATTTTATTTTTAATGAGCAATATAACACTTACTAGACATTTTTCAAAGATAAGAATAAAAATATAGTAATAATAAAAGTATAAAGAAATCTTACAAAACTTTTTAAACAAAGTGATGTGGCAAGAAATGAATGAAAGAGTAAATACAAAAAACGAAACTTTTAAACTTTTTGTATTCACTCTTTCTTTTATTTCCTGTCATATCACTTTGTATAAATTTTTTTATTTTTTATTTTTTTATACCTCTAGCATTATTGATAAAAAATAACTCTTATAAGTCTAAGATGTCAATCATATTAACAGTTTTGGGCCTAAATACCCATCTTATAGCCCAACCAAATAAATCTGTTGTCTTCGATTTGAATTGGCGAAAATAACCTTTTCAGTTTGAAGTCACCGATTCAAAGATTTTTAGGGTAGAAATAAAAATTGATGTCATTTCTTATTAGATTTCACATTTGATCCTTTCAATAGTCTTGGACGATAATATTTGTCTAAGCCATTTGAGCACAATTAACCACCAATTCACTAATTTACGCGTGAAATTTGAAGACAATGAAAAAACAATTTAAATTATTAAATCTAGAAACTGGGAAACCCAGATGCTTAAACTCAAATTATTACCTATTTTAATTTATATCTATAAAATTTCAAATTGATTTCTTCATTTTCTTCAAATTAAAACACATTAATACGTTATTACCAGCTGGATTGGAGGCATGTTGTGTTTAAATGGTTTAGAGAATCAATGGGGTTTTAAACGAGCTCTTAAATATTGAAAGGGTCAATCAAAATCCTCATTAGAAATAAGGTTTTTTTCTTTTTTTTTGGATAATCGGGTGACTGGCCACGTTTGCATGCACTTAGAGATAAACTATAATGTTATATGGTAGATGACTCCAAGATTTGAACTAGACACTCAAGAAAAGAAGCAAAACTCCACCTCTTGGGTTAAGTCAAGTTTTATTTCAATCCTGTAATAGCGGTCAATTAAACAAATTATATTAATAATATGTGAATGTGAAGCCCCATTAGACTTTATGGAAGAGGACAACGTACAATTTGAGGACACGTATATTTGTTTGACAAATTCTTATTACTTGATAAAATATTATTTTAATTTACAGCAGTATATCCAGGCACCATCACATTATAAATAAAGCTTGTAACCGTAGAACCTAGTGCAACATTACAACAAGAAGCAGCAGCTTGATTAATTAAAATATGAATGCTATTTCGTATTTGCTCACCTTTTTCTTGATCCATGGGTTACTAGTTTCACAAACTACAAAGCCCATGGCGAAGGCCACTGAAATTGTTTATGCTTCTTTTGATGCAATTCATTCTCATGTTCGTTATCGTAAGTTGAAGGAAGTGGTGCCGTTGAAAGAGGATCCTCGACGACCGCCACCACCCCCAAGGCCGAATGTTTCTCCTAACCATAGAAAACCCAGTCCTCCACGACCATCTTCTTAATTTGTCAGATCAGACGCTATGATTCAACTGTTTATTTACCATTATTAATTCTGCTCTCAATTGCTTGTATCATGAATGGTTGATTTGTTACGACATCCATTACCTTTGATGTATATTGTATAGAGTAAACAACTTTTTCCCACCAAAGGTTTGCCCTAACGACCTTTCCCACTAAAAAAGTTTCAAAATACCATTTTTTCACTCAAAATTAATATTATGTTACTACCTAAAGCCGATTCTGATGGTCAAAATTCTCTCATTTACCACTATTTAAACCTTAAATCTCCTCTCTACAAAAACCCTTTCACTCCGGCACTTGATTTCTACCGATTGTCGATCATCGCAAAACTAAGGTTTTATGTTTTTAGCTGATTTCTGATTGATTCCGGCAACGAATACTCAATCGATCACCACCATTTATCCACGCCAACATTCACTCTACAAAAGCCTTCTTACCTTGGTTTCTGGTAACTCGTCAAATACCGATTAAGAAAGTGAAATATATTTTAGGTATTAACGGGATATAAATGTTGGGTGGGAAAGTGGTATTTTGAAACCTTTTGGGTGAAAAAGTGTCATTAAGGCAAACCTTGTCTTGACATTTCGTAATTTTTTCTTTCAATATTTGTGTGCTTGTATGTATTTCTTTTTTCCACAGTTTCAGATATATTTTAGATTAATGAATTCAATACTTGGGTGCTTGTATAGAATAATAAGTCCATATTTCAATCGATATTTATTTCAACGGATATGAGATAAAGATGTTCACTTTAATTTGTTAATAAGATGAAAAATCATCCAATGATATACAATATGAGTACTGTCTTCAAGAAATTTCCTCCACAGACTACCAACAGTTTGACAACCACCAATATTAACGCGTATTTGTTTGACAATTCTGATAATTAATCTCAAGGCTAGCTGTAAGTCAATCTCATGAAGCAATATTCAAACATATAATAAATGATAATTAATTTAGAACCTATTGAGTGATGGTCATAATTCCTTCAACAATCCTCCTCTTCAACCACGTTATCTTTTGTTAAAGGGAGACGACTTTTCCCACCAGGTTTGATGAAACGACACTTTTCACCCCTTAGTTTTAAAATGATATTTTCCCACCCTTTGTTGGATTCTGTTAGTGTTTCTGTTAATTTAATTAAAAGATGAAATACCGTTAAATTTTTATTTCTTAATTAGTTTTTTATAAATTAAATTTAGTTAATTCAAAGTCTTTATTCGATTATTCATTAGTTCAAGTATAAAGATACATTTTTTCTTTGTTTATTTAATTAATTAGGAATATTGATTTTTTATGTTAATTAGTAAAATGAAAAAATTATAAATAATAGTGATGAGATATTGATGACATTATAAATAAATATTAAGATTATTAACTTAAAACAATTTTATAGCATTCCTTAACTTTTTAGGTAGGATTAACTATTTTTTTTGAATTTTTAATATTTAACTTTTAGTTATTAAAATAATAAAAAATTTATAAAGTAAATTTTAAGGATATTTTGTTTTTTTAATAAAATATTAATGAAAAATATAATAAAACCTAATAAAGGGTGAGAAAGTATCATTTAAAACTTGATGGACGGGAAGTGTCGTCAAAGCTTGGGTGGGAAAAGTGTTTCTCCCTTTGTTAATTGAAAAGGTCAGTGATTCTGACCCTTGGGACTGAACTATCAGCCCTTAAGTCAAAGACCATAAATATTGTGTCT